GCTGGGTATTGTGATGGGTGCCTGTAGTCCCAGCTGCATGGGAGGCTGAGGCAAGAGAATCGCTTAAGCCAGTGGTTCTCAACTTTCCTAATGCCGTGACCCTTTAACACAGTTCTTCATGTTGTGGTGACCCCCAACCATAAAATTATTTTCGTTGCTACTTCATAACTTTAATTTGCTACTGTTATGAATCGTAATGTAAATATCTGATATGCAGGATAGTCTTAGGGGAACCCTGTGAAAGGGTCGTTTGACTCCCAAAGAGACCCACAGGTTGAGAACTGCTGGCTTAAGCCCAAGAGTTGGAGGCTGCTGTGAGCTGTGACATCACAGCACTCTACGGAGGGTAACATAATGAAACTGTCTCAAAAAAAGAAAATATAGATTCCAAGCCAGGTGTGGTGGCTCATACTATAATCCTAGCACTCTGGGAGGCTAAGGCAGGAGGATCCCTTCAGCTCAGGAATTCAAGACCATTCTGAGCAAGAGCAAGACCCCATCTCTACTAAAAATAAAAAAAATTAGCCATGTGTTGTGGTGGGCACCTGTAGTCCTAGCTATTTGGGAGGCAGAGGCAGGAGGATTGTTTGAACTCAGGAATTTGAGGTTGCTGTGAGCTAAGCTGACCCCACCGCACTCTAGCCAAGACAACATCTTGAGACTGTGTCTTCCAAAAGAAAGAAAATACAGATTCCTGGGAATCTAGATCTAAATATAGATCCCTGGATCTATATAGTAAATGTTTTGGGCTATATTTAGAGCTAAATATAGATCCCGGGAATTAGAATCTCAGGGTGGGGGTCTAGGTTTCCAGGTGATTTTCATGCACACTAAAGCTCAAAAAAATTCATCTATGGTAAATAAATGCAATGGTTTAAAGTCACAATATTTAAGAAAGTAGTTACCTGTAAGGGGGGAAGGTTTAGGAAGGGCCACACAGAAAATTTTGTATGTAATTTTCATTTTGCTAGCCATTGTTCTAGGCATCTTTCATACTCATTCAATAATCCTGAAACTTGATAAATAAGTCATTTTATTTCTTTAAGGCTGAGAAAATGCAGGTACAAATTAAGAAATTTAAGTATTTTGTCCAAGATTACACAGCCAGTATAAACTGAACCATAATTGGTTCAACTCTTTTTTCTTTTCTTTTCTTTCTTTCTTTTTTTTTTGAGATAGAGTCTCACTTTGTTGCCTGCCTCCGGTAGAGTACCGTTGCGTCATAGATCACAGCAACCTCAAACTCGTTTGGGCTAAAGCGATTGATTCTCTTGCCTCAGCCTCCTGAGTAGCTGGGACTACAAGTGCCCGCCACGACGCCTGGCTATTTTTAGAGATGGGGCGGTGGGGTGGGGGGGAATGTCCTGCTTTAGTTCAGGCTGGACTCGAACTCGAACTCGTGAGCTCAAGCAATCCACCCACCTCGGCCTCCCACAGTGCTGGGATTAGCGGTGTGAGCCACCGCGCCCGCCGACTCCTAGAGTTCAAGTTCTTAACCATTAAATTATACTTGTTTTCTAGTCATAGTAATGCTTTATTTCTCAAACTAAGTAGAGTGGAAACACACATTCAGCTTGTTATTTATCACCTGTAGCTAGGACTGCAGGTGCCCACCACAACACCTGTCAGCATTTCCCTTTGGGAATCGCGCTAATCTCGCCTGCAATCTCCCTTTCGACCTCAGAGGGCGCTTTTCTCACCCTTATTTCACAGGGTGCATAGGAACAAGTTTCAGTTAAGGCTCTGAGAGTAGTAAGACGATAATTCTCCCTAGGTGACTCTCTGTGGTTCCAGTGCCTATGGGACCAAAAGAAAAGTGCTAGGGATTGTGCAAGTCGTGCCTGCACTTGCCTTATTCGACTTGAACTCGCAGTCCCATTTCTAGAAATGAATCAAAAGCTCAGAACAGGTTCCTGACTTATTCTAAGTTATACAGTCAATTAGCGCTGGGATTTAAACTAGGTCCTCTGAGTTCTCCGATGCCCGAGGCTCCCTCCCCAGGGTCCCGGTACTGACAGTCTCTTACTCCTGTTTGCCCCGGCTAAATACAGCCAGAATTCTGAAGGTATTGGATCTTGGTTCCGGACTCGGGCCAGCCCCAAGAAGAGTAGACAGCAGGACAAGGAACGGGACCAGGCCCAGGCGGAGCTGGTCTAGGCAGCTGCACCTGGATGAGGCAGCGCTGGGACTACCCACCTAGCACGAGGATGCGGTCCTCGGGCCGCAGCTCCGGCTCTAGGAGGGCACGGAAAGAGGAGAAGTTCCCAAACCACTCATAAGGGACAGAATCGGCCGCATCTCGGTAGCGCTGATCCCAGTACTGGACCTCTCGGTAGCCGCAGTTTTGCTCGGGTAATTCTGGTCCCGGAGCCGGAGACCCTGGAGAGGACATGCTCTCAACAACCCGGCAGCCAGAGCACCCAGCCTTCCTAGCCAATCCGGAAGGTGGATGTAGGAGGCGGGAACCTTGTGTCTCCGCCCCCCGCTTGCAGTTGCTCAACACAAACACGTGGAACTTCCGTCCTCTGCTAAGCGTTCCAGGAAGAATCCTCCGGTTGGAAAAATCATAGAATTCAGATCCTGAATCCTCCGGCTTTACTGCTCGCTCGTTTCCTAGGGCCGCACTCGTGGTGTCAGGCTCACTCGGGTTCTTCACTGCATCCTATTTTATTTTCACCGTAACCGGCTCCTTCTATTAAGTCTAAAGATGAGTGAAAAATTCATTTCCCAAGCCGTTTTTAGGTACCCAAAAAGATCTAAGGGAAGCGGGAGGCGCGCGGACAGGCCCTTTGTCCTCCAGAAGAGACAGCACGAACACAGATACGGGATCCTGGGTCTTGGGGGCTGGGGCTGAGAGCAGGTATATTCCTTTTCTGGGCAAACGTGTACGTTAGCGTCTGTGTACGCAGAGCTGGGTATAAATTGAGGAATAAGACTTTGTTTCAGCTGGTATGGAGCATATAGTGCATCAGAAGAGACCTACGTGAAAAATGCATTTTAATGGAGCAAATAAGGTCTCTGGTCAGCACCTAGTACAGTGAGACGTCCGGCGCGCGGAGCGGAACCCAAGTGTTCCGGGGTCGGGTTTCCTGGGTGGTGGAGCCCACAAGAGCGGCGCACTATCAACATGGCGGCCGGGCTGCGGAAACGCGGCCGGGCGGGTTCTGGGTCTCAGGCAGCCGGACTCTGCCGGCAATGGCTGCAGCGCGCCTGGCAAGAGCGGCGCCTACTGCTGCGGGAGCCGCGCTACACGCTGCTGGTGGCCGCCTGCCTCTGCCTGGCGGAGGTGGGCATCACCTTCTGGGTCATTCACAGGGTGGCATGTGAGTGCGCCGACGGGGACCGGAGGGAAGGGAGGGAGACCCAAATTCTCAACTCAAAGTGGAGCTCATATCTGGAATTCAAAACCATACTCCCGATACATTCATTCATCAATGGCAGACCCTTATCTCCTACCTGAGCCCCAAATCTGCTCGACAGAAAACCGGATTTTTAACCCCCCGCCCCCAACAGTGGCAGCGACCCTGGAGATTGATACTCTACCTTCAACATGTAGCCTGCATGCTAGGAAGGCAAACCAGCCTGGTAGTTAGAAGACTTAGACCCAAGTTAAATGTAATGCTGCTGCTGCTTGTTTCTGTGGCTTTGGAAATGTCATTTCCACTCCTGGATCTAATTTTCTTATCTGTTCGAGTCTGCAATCTTTGAAGATCCCTTCTCAATGATGGCATTTTGTGACCACTCGAATTCATTAGGCGTTATTGGTGACTCTTTTCTGGGCTGACTACACACTGGGCTTAGGGCATCTGGCTTTCTTGCTAATTGGACACATTTATTGAGTGCTTATTATACCCCTAATATGTTATGATAAATGCCGGAGATACAGTCGTGAAAAAAGGAGACACGTTTCTGACTTGGGTATGTGGGCCTGGGCAAAGATGAGTTAGCAGGCAATTACAATACATCATGTTCATTATGATAGTAGTAAGACAGGATGATATAAAGGACACAGGAAGACACTTCAGACCTTCATAGAACCCTCTTCCCCAGGAGCTAGCTGAGGAAAGGAGGAAAAAGCAAGAGTACTCTGGGCAGAGAGGATTCAAAAACCTCTAGTCAGGCTGGGTGCATTGGTTGGTTCATGCCTCTAATCCTAGCACTTTGGGAGGCCAAGGTGGGAGGATTGCCTAAGGCCAGGAATTGGAGACCAGTTTGAGCAAGAGTGAGACCCCATCTCTACTAAAAATACAAAAACTAGCTAGGCGTGGTAATGCACACCTGTAGCCCCATTTACTGGGGAGGGTGAGGCAAGAGGATTGCTAGAGCTCAAGAGTTTGAGGTTGCTGTGTGAGCTATGATGCCCTGGCACGCTAGCCTAGGGCAAGAATGAGACTCAGTCTAAAAAAAAAAAGAACTTGGGACCACATAAATTCCAATCCCAACTCTACTCTTTCTAGCTCACCAATCTTAAGGTAAAATGGAAATATTAATAATACAGTTTTGCCAGGCACAGTGGCTCATGCCTGTAATCCCAACACTTGGGAGGCCAAGGTGGGTGGATTGCCTCAGGTCACAGGTTTGAGACCATCCTGAGCAAGAGCAAGACCTAATCTCTAAAAATAACTAGGCATTGTGGTGGGCACCTATAGCCTCAGCTACTCGGGAGGCTGAGGCAAGAGAATTGCCTAAGCGCAGGATTTGGAGGTTGCTGTGAGCTATGATGCTACAGCACTCTACCGAAGGTGATACAGTACTACCGGCACCTGCCACAACGCCTGGCTATTTTTTGTTGCAGTTTGGCTGGGGCCGGGTTCAAACCTGCCACCTTCAGTATATGGGGCCGGCACCCTACCCACTGAGCCACAGGCACCCACCCTTGCCTCAGTTTTTATGTATAGTAGAGATGAGGTCTGGCTTTTTGCTCAGGCTGGTCTTGAACTCATGAGCTCAAGCAATCCACCGGCCTTGGCCTTTTTAAAATTTTTTATTAAATAGAGTGCTAGGATTGTATCCAATCACTTTTGATGATGGCAAACAAAAGGTATGAGCCACCATGCCCAGCCTTTTTTTAATTTATTATTATTTTTTAATTTTTTTTTTTTTTGAGATAGAGTCTCACTTGATCACCCTTGTAGAGTGCCATGGCATCTTAGCTCACAGCAACCTCAAACTCTTAGATTCAAGCAATTCTCTTGCTTAAGCCTCCCAGGTAGCTCGGACTACAGGCACCTACCACAACACCCAGCTATTTTTTAGAGACAGGGTCTTCTTCTTGCTCAGGTTGGTCTCAAACTTGTGAGCTCAGGCAATCCACCCACCTTGGCCTCCCAAGTGCTGGGATTACAGGAGTGAGCCACTGTGCCTGACCCTATTTATAAATTTCTTCTTTTTTTTCCAGAATTCTATAGGGGTGTACACATTTTGGTAACAGTTTGATTTGTACATTTCAGGTCCATGTTATAAGTATGCCCTTCTTCCATAATGTGTGCATTATACCTATTAGGTGTGAATTGATCCAACCCTATTCCCCTACACGCACTTGATTCCCACTGAGTTTTACTTCTATGTGTACACATAAATATTGATCCAACTAATTCCAATTTAGTACATGTGGTGTCTGTTTTTCCATTTTTTTTTTTTTTT